ACCCCTGGTAGGGCATTAAAGCCCAAGTGGAGTTTCTGGGCACGTGAATGAGGAGCTTCCAGGATCTCACCCTTCAATTAAAACAAACCAAGTTTCCAAAATTTTTACAGAAGCTGCCAGTCTGACAGTGATCTTTTGAAAAGGTGACATCTCCTCCTCCCAGCTGGGTGGGGGCTGAATGCAGTGCCACTGCACCCCCTTGAAAGCTCAAACCTGCACTGTCCCCTTACCTGTGCATCAGAACAGAATAGGAAGGAGAATAGAATAGAATAGAAAATGCTGCACCACCACAGCTAAGCCTCTGGAGAAGCTTGCAAGATTAGGGAGATGCTTCTGGTGTATTCACAGTGATATTCCCTGGCAAGGTCATCATCTGAGGAGAATGAAACCAGAACCTCTGATTTAAAACCGATTGGAACCAAAGGGCAGATAATTTGCTAACAGACTAATTTTCCTGTACAGAACCTGACTTCACTGTCTTTTTCTGAGCAATTAATGTAAGTATAATGGAAAGATGTGTCTCTTAGTAACTGGAGTGATACTGTCAGTTCTTTACATACATGCCTTGGAATCATAAGTCAGGTATCAATACTTGCAGAGTCATGCTGGCCTGTGCTCATTTGCTGCCAAACAGTACAAGTCTCTTCATCCCATTCCCATGTCATCCATCTCTAACTGTGTCAGTGTAGAAAACATTGCTTCTTTTCTGGAGGGAAAAAGAAAGTCTGCACAGACAGCTCAGATCCCATCTGTTGAAGGTAACCGAGGATTTCCACCTCTGCATTTGTGGGTGAAACTGGATTCAGGATGTTGGAGAGATGTGTTATGCTATTGGGTGCTGAAGTGCTGTGTAACTCCAGGTATGAACAGCCTTGTGGCTGAAACAGGGAGGAGCAAAACTGCTCCCAGCAGAGCAAAAATGTGACACTGTCGTGACATGCAGCAGTTCTTTGCACATGAGTGCCTCTGCCTGCTACAGACACATGCAGACATGTGCACAGTCATACAGCCATACACAAACATCATGACACAGCAATTACCTTCTGCAAAGAGAGCTAAAAAAGGCTGATAGGACGATAAGAGTACCCAAACTTCCTGCTGGGATGTGCCGTGGGTGGCAGAATAAATCTATTTCTTCTTCCCCTCTGGGAGCAGCTGCTGGAGAGAAGTAGGCAGTGCATTAGCATCACATTGCACTTTATTAGCAGAGGGATTCTGGACAACAGTGTTTCTTATAAACTGATCAGAGCCATAAAAAAGCCATTCCAGTGCTGGAAGCAGCTTTTGTCTGGCTTGGCCATATAACCCTCACTCAAGGTGCCAATTCTGGTACCACCTGACTGAGAGCAGCAGGTCTTGCTCTCAGATCTTGCCATGCTGCCTATTATCCAGCTGCACATGATGGTCTACTACCTGACAAAATAAACTTTGGACTGCAGACAGAAATGGGCATTTGCTCTGCTCACAAACCTCCTCACCTATCTGGGAAAGCCTAATGACATTGGAAGGGTTGGAGAACTGAGTTTCATAGGCCCTGCTCTCCTCCAGTCCTGCAAGGTATCTCAGCAGAGAGTGCAGCACTTTGCAGTGACCTCATGAGGATTGAAAGTGTCCATCAGTCCGTCCTGGCTGAGGGTAAGGCTGAGTCAAGCTCTGACAATTGCTCTTGCAATGAGTTTATCTGAGTAAAGTGAGCCAAGAGCACACTGTGCAAAGGTTTCCCAGGCAAAACAACTACTTATAAAAAATTAAAAGCCTTCTACAAAACATCAATCCCTCAAGGTTTATTTGGCTTCATATATCTTATGAATCTTTTCATGTAATTCCAGCTAACTTTGTAAAAATTAAAATACTTATGAAAATAATATCAAAATGGTTATTAAGTAGTCTATGCACTCTGAATGTTTTAGTAAACAAAACGTGATCATTTTATGTATCAGTTTTTATTTACTGGATGTGTAGTATTCAGCAAATAAAAGGTCAGATGTGTTTTCAAGACAAAAAAAATGGTAGGAAAGTATTGATGAAAATGTTATAGGCACTCTCCTGACAAAGAAGAAATGGTTCAATTTCAAACCCTATGAGAAGGAAAGAGAGTTGAAATGTCATTCAAGATGGGCTTATGTGCCCAAAAGCTTTCTTTTTTTTTTTAGCCATACTGCTTGCTCTTTATCGACACCCTTAGATGTTCACAGCACAAAAACTTGTTGCCACAATCTCCTCTCCAAATTTGTAGCAGCATGTTCTGAGCGTGCTTGGCTGGAGTCTCTGTGCCCTGTCCTCAGGGTGGCCAGAGATGAGGAACCTGGTCCCTCCTGTGCTGGAGCACTCCAGCAGTGCAGGGGCAGCTCTCTCTGGGCACTGTGGAGTCACAGCTCCTCACAGTCCTTTCCAGAGCTTCCTCACACTTGAGATCCTCCTTATGGTGTGGTGGGACTTTAACAATGTTAACATTTCTTGTGACCCTTAGAGTAAAACTTGGCTGGTAGCCAGATTTTATACAAAGAGATGCTAATTTCTGTTTAATTTTCTCCCTTTTATTACTAATCATATCACTGCAAAACGTAGTTTACAGCAATACAAATAGGATCCATTGCTGCAGGGAATTGTGCAGCTTCTGTCAATTTTTTCAGCACCCAAATGTGAAACAGAAGCAATTAAACTCTGAGGGGAAAAAAGTAACAGTGTGGAACACATCAGAAATCGGGTCATGAATTCACACAGATGGGAAAGCCAGGAAGCAGTGGGAAAGCAAGATTTTGATTGACTCACCGTCAACAGTAAATGAGCCATTGGCAGTTTATTGTCAATTTTTTGCCTTTTAATCTGCAAGTTCCAGAGGTGACAGCACCCTCCTCAAGCCACGGCTTGGGGATGGGAGGGGACAGGAAAGTGGGACAGAGAAAGCAATGGCAGGAGTAAAGGTGGGGACAGGGGGTGGGTCAGCATCACAGGGGGAGGGAGGCAATTTTATCATTCTCTGAATCTGATGTGGAGCTAAAATTAAACCATACCCAGGCAATAGTCATGGGTGTTAAAAATATGCCACCCAAAAGGGATCATGAGGTCTCTGCAGATTAAATAGTAATAAATTTGTGGTAGTAATTAGAGGCACTGACCGGATCCAAAGCCTGCTGGGGGAATTGCTATACAAATATAGTTAAGGATAGTTCTTCCTCAAAAAAATGTATGAAGCAGAGGGAAGAGAGGAAGGAGCAGAAGCCTCCCAGCTGAAGGCAGAGGCGATGTGACCCTGACAGGGCCTCAGTGTTACCTGGAACACGTGAGGTGTAGACAGGGATTGCTCTCTCAGCCTGCTGAACAGGCTGAGAGGAAGAGAGGTGATGTTTAAATCCGCTGCTAGTCCAGCTTTCTCCAGTGGAAACCCAAGACCCAGCCCCAAGCCTGTGGGGCACACCAGGATACCTGACAGGCTACCAGAAGACCCATTTGCCCTGGCTAGTGAGGATGTGGAGCTCAGTGGGATTTGTGGGATCTTCATACCACCCAAGAAAACACGAGGCCTCGGAAGCCACGGCGTATTTTAGCATGCAGAAGCTCAATATATTTTTCTTTTCAAGAAGCAGCACAGCACTTCTGAGAATGAAACAATCAGTTATAAAAGTAACCTTGCAGCAAAGCTTCAAGGGGGAGTTATATATGCTGGCAAATTTTCACTGTTTATTCATTCTAGACATACTTATAGACTAATTCTCCTCTTACTCTGATTTTATATCAATTATTCGCCATTGATTGAGTGGAGTTAATTTAAATTTACAGCAGTGTAAGTGAGGAAAAGCGGCTTGTAATCAGTAGCAAGTTGATTCTGCCACCTTTACTCACCATGAATAGTACCTTACTCACTGAATAATCCTATAAATTCCTCTTGGGGTTTCTCACAGAATGGGATAGTATGTGATCTGAGTAAGGATGGCAAATACTTTTAATACTTTTCATATCAATTACTCCACTAGACTGGACTAGGTGACATGTTCAGCTTTGCATTCTTGATAATTTTCTAATGTGTATCTTATAATGACATTTCCTACCTACTGTGTTGTTTGCAGTTTGGGAGAGGTGTGATGTAAGAAAAGAGCAAAAATGCTGTAACAGCACTATTGGGCTGACACCACTGGAAAACTCTTCCCCAAGAGAGACAATCCCCTATTTAATTTCTTATTTTCTTGTGCTTCTGAAGAGACTTCTTGATTTCCTCTTGCTGGTAGATAATGAATATGAAATGGCATTAGAGCAGGGTAATAACTTGCTAAATTTTCCACTAAGAAACCAGGTTTCCTATTGCAGTCCTTGTTCAGACTATGCATGTGCCAAAAGGATTTGCTAGATCACGACTAGCCTTGATAGGTGTGGCCTATTGACATTCTGATCTGTGGTAAAAAATTAGAGATTAAACTTGGTGACTGCCGAGAGTGACTTCATTTAAAGGATTTCTCATTTTTTTTAAGTCCAAAGCAGTCATTTATAATACTGCCAGAGAGGAATTCAGGATCCCTCAGGGGTGGCCCAGCTCTGTATTCCCATTTTAGCACAGCTGTCAAATGAAAGCTCAGAAATTTAAAAAATAACAATAATTTTTAAATTGCTTGTTCGACTTTTTTTTTTCTTCCCCAAACCAATCGAATCCTGTTATCACTCAGAAGACATAGATAAAATTTTTTTAAAAAATTAACTATGTATTTATTAATCTTTTGAAAACTATTTATCTTGGAGACAAGCCTTCACTAAGCAAAAATTATATTAAATTGTTAAGCAAACAAAATAGAGGCTTAGAATGAAAACCCTTCTGTGGGGTTATCTGCTGTCATCTATAACAGGATCTGTGCCTCTGCACAGGGACGTATATTCTCCCCATTGAACCAACCATTTTGCCAGTGGATAGGCCCTTAAAATTATACACTTTTTTTTTTTTCCAGTTAAAAGGCACGGGGGAGGAAACAAAGAGTAGGAAGCAGCAGAGGAGATCTGAAGGACGAGTTCAAGACGTGCATTTCCTTGACGTTAGCAAGCAAGACACACCCCAGCGAAGGGATACATTAAGCCTGTGCTGGTGTGGGTAAGTGTCCAGCTCTCAGTTATCTCTGTGCAGTGTTCAAGGAGCAAGCTCTCACTCACACCTGCTTCACCAGGCTTGCTAGAATGATCTGGGTGAATGATAAGGAGATAGAGAGGGAATCTCCTTCCACACCGATGAAAGGAGGGGTGGATGCGTGTCAGGCAGAAAGCACCCCTGGCCCCAGGCCTGGAGGGCAGAAATCAGCTGCAGCTGCTTGCCAGGATTTCACAGCCTGCACAAAATCTCAATATTGTGTGACAAATCAAAATTGCTTGTCTCTACCTGACTGAATACATTTCCACTTGAGGGGTTTTATATTTGTACGTGTCTCCAGAAGGGGAATGTGCAAGTATGGAAGTGCCGAAATTTTCAGGGCATCGAAGTAGCGTGGCTTTTATTAATAAAAAAGAAGTTTGTGATTCATTTTATGACAGCAAAAATACATTTGTTCACCCAGTAAAAGTCTCTCCATGAACAAGAGAGGTGAAAGGATATTTCTGTGAGTGAGTTGGCTGCATATCAATGAGACCACGGGAGCCTCACTGATCTTAGTGGTGATACTGGTAATGACACGTGTTGACAATGGGATGCAGAGCCAGCCCTAATTCTGATTTAAGCCCAGGTAGCCCTTGAAAACTGCTGGGCAGCTTTTGTGTGTTGAAACCAAAGCACAGGTTTTGTTTGTGTGGACAAGAGAGTGGATGTGATTGACACCTATACCCACACATCTTTGTGTGCTTTGTGGGGGGCAAGCTGAGACACTGCAGACAGGAATTTGTTTACATTTGGAAGCAGGGTAAATGCAGTGGGTGCTGGGGACCTGCTGGAAAACTAGGGATTCCTGGCACTGCTGTTGATCTGTTATATTGTTTACTTGACCTTCTGCTTCCCTGCACTGTCACTCATTGTCTTGCCTGTTTAGACTGTAAACCTTTCAGAAAAGAGATTATTCCTAGCCCAGAGGATCATTGGTATTATTTGAATCTCTAGATGCTTCTGTGATAATAATAGTAAAGAAGATAGAAAAGCTGTTTTAAATACATGATGGTGTATACTTGTGAGAGACAAGGTATGGAAACACCAGAAGAAAACCAAGTAACATAATTTACCTGTATATTCAAAAAAATTAAGGTGTAGAAATGGAGAGGTCAACATAAAATGCCATAATAATTTTCAACAACAAAAGGTTTCCAGAAGCAGGGATCTGCCAGGCCACGAAGCAGAAACGATGCTATTCCGTGTTTCTTGGTGAGCTGCAGGCCAGGTGATCAATAGAGTCCAAATTTGCAGCAAGCAATTCCCAGTTGAGAAGACCACAGGTGATAAAGGGGAATGTTGAAGTTATGTAACCAGCCAAATAAATAAGAAGCCAGCAGCAGCTGAAAGTTACCTGAAGGGATGTTCCAGGGTAGTGAATGATTAAAGCTACTACCACTTATTACTGTTTGCAATCCTATAGGTAACAAATAACCTGTAAACCTGGATTATTACAAATTCAAGTTGCATTGAGTAAGAACTATGTCGTATATAACCCATACATAACAGGTATAAACCTGTATGCTGCAAAACATGAAGCATAGCTGCTGGTCCCCCACCACGAGGAGTTAGGAGATTTACTCTGGACGTGTTTTGTCATAAATGTCTATTGCAAAGAGAGGCCATATTTCTCCGAGCCAAGAAACAATTTTGGTAGCCCTCCCAGTGCATACATTACCTAGTTATACAACCCACCTTGGCTTCCAGGGCATAAGAAAAGTGACTTCTGTATAGCTTCAAAAAAGACACTTCATTTCTTCCTTCACTTATCTAGCTATTTGATTCTGCTCCATTCAGAACATCCTTTTTAAGACAATTCACTTGTTCTTCCCAATCAGCACTTCAGTCCGGTTCAGAGGCCTCCCAGATCTTTTTTGTTCAGAACACTTCAGCTCCTCAGAATTCTGAAGTCAGCATTTTTTGTCTTCCTTTTCTTGACAGAAAACATAGTCACTTCAGAGCTGATTAACATTTTTGTCACAGAAATGTTTTCCCATCAGACAACATGATTTCACCTAAATTGAAATTTGCAAGGATAAAATGTCATTTCTGACAAAAAAAAAAAAAAAAAAAAAAAAAAAAAAAAAAAAAAAAAAAAAAAAAAAAAAAAAAAAAAAAAAAAAAAAAAAGGTTTTCCAGCTGGGAGAAGCATAACAAAATATTTTGTTTGGGGTTGACATTTCAACATAAAATTTCTTGGTTTTTTTTTCAATATGTTGATCCAAAATTAAAAATGCCGTAACAGAATGACATGTTGGATCATCCTGTTTTGATATAAAATGTCTAGATCTTAACATTTATACTTTTCCACGGAATTTTGACTTTCCATTCAAGTTTGAAATGAAGAATTATTTTGAAATTCCCCGTGGGAGGAAAATTCCATTTCCTCCCCTGCCCTCACATTAGGAGGAGAGACTGTTCTGAAACCAGAGGAGTAGGTAGGAGAGTCAGGCAGTTTTGCATCCTGTGTTGTATGTCATAGCTTAGCTGCATAAATTTGGCCAAACTGCTTCACTTCTTAAGAAGTTGGGTGGCTTGTGGAGTTTTTTGTTAAAATGGGGCAGAATGCTTTTCTGTGTCCCCAGCAACCCTTTGGAAAACCATCAAATCCAGTTTATAAATTAGGAATAACAGTACTTGCCTGTGTCACAGGACAGGATGTGAGTCTTAATTGTTGTTTATTGAATTCTCTCAGATTCTTGAAAGATGCTGTAGAAATCTAAAATCATATTTACTGAAATGAGTTATTCAGGTGACTTACAAGCGCTGAGCAAACTTGGCTGTTATTTTTAAACAAGTATGAATTATTTGTTTTGAACAGTACCTCTAATCCTCTCTGCTAGGGTCTGAACTCTCCTCTTTTCCTTGCTCCACATTTTTATGCAGAGATATAAAGCAGCATTTCACAGTAAGCTGAATAGTGATACTAATTACAAGGAGAGTTTCTTCTGCTATTGACAATGCACAGAGGTCCATGAGGAGTCTCCATGCTGCTTTTCACTTCCAGCCAGATAATCATACCTCTCTCCCTTTCTTGTTTTTTCTGTTTTTGACATCATCTCTAACTCATACACATAGACACAGAGTGGCAAAAGTTATGGGATCAGGAGGATAGAAAATGCTGCAAACTATAGTGGATATTGTAAGTTTTCAACCCTTTCTGGGTTGTCATCTGGATTCCATCACTCATGGGACAAGCAGCTCTGTTCTGCAGCACCTGCCATTTAGCCACACCACCAAATATTCCCCCTCTCAAGAGATCTCTAACTCTCCCACCCAAAAATGAACCTCTTGTCTTTCACATCCCCAGCTCTTTTAGGCTGCTGTTTGTCAGGTAAGCTTCAGTCTGCCTGGTGTTTAATCTGTTTATTGCTTTGTCTGATCCTCACCATCTGCATCCTTATTTTCTATATTCTCCTGAGACTATGAGTTTCTTTACTTCCAGGCCCAGAAGGACAAAAGTGTGTTTTTTCTTGCACCTTGGGCTGCAGGAACTGTTGGAAAACATCATGCAAGAGCAATTGTGCCAACATACCCATGATTATGTAGACACAGGCAAAAGAGAGCTTTTCCCCAGAGGGCTTTCAGCTCTTTACCAAATTAAATTCACATGAAAGAAGGCACGAGTCTTTCTGTTTGATTTTTTGTTTCACTGTGTTTCCTTTCTTGCTAGTGCCATGGTCTCCATACACAGGCTTAAGTTAGTACTCAAACCCCACACTACTCACTAACTGGTATTATTTAACAGCTTTCTAAAACAGAACACTGCCCTTGGTAGGTGCTCTTTGCTTTTCTGGTGAGTGTTGACACAGGAACCACCACCCTTGATCACAGTTGCACCTCAGTCACGGCTGTTGTTGCACAAAGTGTTGCACAAAGGCAGGTTTACACACACAGTGGTTTCTGAGCAGAGTCTGTGGCTGAGCACATACATCAGCTCCAGCAAATCTAGGAGTGAATAAAAAACACAGAGAGAGGGGGAAAGGGAAAACTTCCTCTCTCTGGGGGCCAGCCAGGAAGGGTAGAAGTGAGGTCCCAGACTCTCATAGTGGGTGCAAGGCCATGAGAGCAAAACTCCAAGAGTAACAGTATGAGAACATTGAAGAAGAAAAAAAAAGAGAGAGAGAATAGCAGTATGGGAACAATAGAGGGAAAATGCTGCCACTGACACTTTGGGAAAGTGCTGACTCAGCAGCTTATGTGAAGGGTTATAGGGTTGTGAATAGGAGGCCGTTGGCATTACTAGGGCTAAAGCTCTAATGTACCTGAGGCCCTCTGTAGCACTGCTTTGTTTTCCCATCCTCCTGCTGCCAAGTCTATAATCCATCTTTTCTGATTTCCTGGTTGGGGAATCTCCAAGTAAGGAGGGCAAGGTGAAGCATTCCTGTAAATCTGATGTCTGGGCAGTTTCAGCCTTCTGATAAGGGCTTCAGTTTGGCTGTACAAAAGAAAAAAAAAACCCTCCCAAAAAAACCCCCCAAACCCAACATAGTTACCTCTGCTAGAAAACAGTGCATTCCAGATTTGTCCAAGTGCCATAACCAGTAGCCACAGGCATTTCTAAAGCACCAGTGAGTGCATCCCACTACATCGTGAATAATCACTGCCAGGAACATGGAATCTGGGCAGCTATTCATTTCTCCATTCCACTTCCATGGGTTAGTCCCTCCCTGAAGTGTTCACAAGGAAAGTGTCTCTATTATACATTTCATGGGGACATGGAGTAAAAATCTGTAGCCAGGATTTTCAAAGGAAACTAAGTGGATTAGGTACTCAACCACCCTAGAATTTCAGTGGCTTAGTCACTTTTAACAACTCAAGATAAAACTATTGAGGAACAACTGGTAGATTCATTATAAGACTAATATTTAATATGATTCATTCTTATTTATATTCTTGTCTTGGAGTCTACCAGTCCCAAGAACTGAATTCCCTGCCCTAGTTCCCTCTCTGTCTTTCCATACTACCTTCTTAGTGTCTGATCACATTTGTCTCCTCGTGCTTGGTGTCATCTCTCCAGTGACTAATTTTCTCTGGCTCTCCTCGGGCACCCTCACCTTTACTTGGGAAGGCCAGGAATGTCTGTCTGCACGTGGCACCCAGGGCTCTTGCCCCGAGCACTTCCTTTGCACTGTAACATCTTCGTTTCCCCATCAAGAAGCATAATATCCTCCTGGCGAGAAAAGCAAACCGGGTAAACAGGCACAGTAATTAGATCTGATGCCCAGGCTCTGGAGAGGAAATTGGGAGATAAATTAAAAGTTGGTCCCACTGGAAGGTTCCCCAATGGATATTGATCAGCCTCAGGTGAACTAGAAACAGTCCAAGGAGAATTTATTGATTAGAAGCTGACAACCAATTGTTTCTTCCTCTCTCTGTTTCGAGGTTGTAGTTTTTGTTTGCCTGCTTCTCTGATAGAGGCCGCAGGTAAATTCCTTTAACTGTACTCCTTTGTCTATGTCCAAGGGGCAGCAGAGTGGAAGCACAAAGGCTGGCAAAGCTCATTAAAGTCAGGAGCACAGAAATGGAGTGCAGGTCTTGCCATTGCTTTCCCCAGAGATGCTCAGGGTTGTTCTCTATTCCCTTTTGAGACTCTGACCTCTTGTCCTTCAGATTACACAGTTGGTTAGCTGAAACCTTTGCTCTTGGGTTTCTAACTCTCTGGCACAGACAGTGCTCCCATGAAAAACACACGTATCCCTGTCGAGGAGAGGACAGAGGCAAAGAGGCACAGATAACCCTCAGAGGCATTTATCTGCCTTGTCAGCAGATCTAGCCAAGAATTCAGGAGAAAGGGTATTTTTCCCTGACTGCAGGAGCCACCTGTGGTTTCAGAGTTATCAGTTTGCCTCTCACCATTGTTTCAACAGTTTACTACTGCTAATAGATTTCAATACCACTGAAACCTAAAGGAATTAGGGACCCAATTCGGAATATGATCCTGCTCAGGGGAACACAGAAACACTCCTGCATGTAGGGACATACTCTTCTATGAACATCTTAAAAACTGCAAAGTAGGCTTTGAGTCTTAGGCAATGCCAAATGCAAAGTTAGCACACACAGGCTTGAGTCTTCTCCTGGGCATGCAATAAGATCTTCAACTGCCTCTCCTCATACTGCTTTTTACTCAGCAGTTCTGTCTCAGGACGGTGCACGGAATAGATGGAGCTTTATGAATAAGCAGCTAGTCAATATTTTATTTCCTCCTCATTGTCTGGTGTATGGCTCCAGGCTTTATTTGCTGGACACAATTCAAACCCTACTCTGGAGAAAAAATGATTAATCTTCTCCCAGGTTTTTTGTGTGGCACACATCACTATAATGGCTGGCTGGTGTACAGACATTAACTAACTTAGTGCCACATCTCTGGCTGATGAGGGTGTACTGTTGTATTAGGCTCCTGTTTGGGACACTGAGGCAGAGACATTGCAGTAGGGAGTTTTGAAGGACTTCATAAAACAGCTCCCATCTTCCTGTGCTGTAGACAGGTATGTTGAAGATGTCCTATAAATCACAGCCCAGGCCTCAAATCAGGAATCAAGAAAACAGGGCATCCTCAGTGAGTGACCTTTCATGGTACTTGGCTTAAGTGTCTTGCTTAAACCAAAACATTTGTACAAATGACATTTATACTAGCAGGCAGGAGAAAATCTATCCCTCTAGACATTCAGCTACATTAATCTTGAGACCCACCTCTTCTTTCCTCTCAGTTCCTTGCCTCATTTACTGTACACTTTACCATCCTGGCAATAAATGAGCAGAAATCCTAAAGACAACGTCCTCTTTCAGTACAGCCTCCTGTTCTGCTGAAGAATAGGTCTGCCTTGTGCAATATGTCAGTCTTCAGTCAGCAAATAGCATGTGATAGGATAAGAAAGAACCAGATCACCAGAAATATGTTCAAAGGAACTGGATTTACTAGGTCTTCATGTTAAATTTGTACCTGCTATTTCCTATCTTCTAAATACATGACTTACCAGTATCAGCATTTTTTTCAGTGCCTTGCTTCTCTTATGTATGTGTCCGTGCATGGGTTTGAAAAAATAAGCAAATGGAAACTACAGAAATTCCATCATGTGAGTTCAGATTCATTCCTGGGTGATTCATCAGTAACGTGGGAACATTTATACATGTTGTACAGGCCTGTGCTACCCCGGCTGTGGGAGTAACTGATAGAAGAAGTACATAGTTATCTTCCTTGTAGGTCAGCACACAGAGGGGAATGAGGCAAGCATTTTGCATCTGGGTTTTACAGATGCTTGCTAACAACGAGAGATAGTGAGACTCTTGAATCCTGGATTATATTGTGGGCTCTGAAAGGGAATTTAAGCTACTGGGCCCAGACGCTTCTGCCTTTTCTCCCCGGCGTGGTCCTGGGTGCCCTCTGCTCTACAGTTTATCTGCATACTCTATCTCCTCTAACTTTGCTCAGCTCATACCCTTAGGAGGTGTGAATGCAAACCCAGACAATACAAGGTTGCTACTGAAATGTCAAAATTCTGTAACAGCTTTACAGCTTAACATAAGAGATATGATTTTTTTTTTCCTGTGGCTTATTGGTGTAGGAAAAGGTGCATTGTATAGATGGCATAACACTGACTGATATTTGTTGCCAAATTTGAACTAAAACCAGTAAATAAACTACTTTCCCCTTTTTCTCGTCTCTTAAAATTAAATCTGCAGAACTCCAGGAAGATTTTTCCTAGATTTATCTCCAATGGGTTAGTAGCCGCTAGGCCAAGATGCTTCCCCATGTGATTTATATGTCTTTTCACTGGTCCTAGGAGTTAATGCTTCCCCCCTAGGTGTTGGCCATTTGTAGCACAGCTTGAAAGAATGAAATAGTGTTTTAAACTCTCCCTTTCCATCTCAAAGTTGGGCTTTCAACTTTAAAAATTGATTCACTTTGGGTGAAAGGTCCTGGCTTGAAGGGTTCTGGGGAATGAGGTTCTTTATTAAGTGACAGAACTTGTGCATCATGGACAGGATCAGGAGACACTTCCCAATCACCATCTCTCCTTCCAACGTGACTTGCTCCTGAACTAGAGCTATCTGCTGTAGGGGTGAACTGATGGGAGTATTTTAAAGGTCTGGTCAGTGCCTTCCTCTGATATGGACCCTTTTCTAGGAAGATCTAGATGGGGATTGCTGGCACATTGCAGACAGACCATTCTGCCATTTGGAAAAGTTGAGTTGAGGTCACATGGATCCTGGGTTAAATGGGTTTACACCCCACCTCCAGCCATTTGGCAGATTGATTCTCTTAGGAATTTGTTTTGCAGCTTGACAAAATAAAAAACTTGATGAAATGCAATTTTAAAATATATGTATTTGGTAAATTAATGAACTAGCGCTGACTAAATGAAATTATCAAGAGCAATCAAAACTCAGAAGAGAAATCTTTTCAGGTGATTATAACGAGCTTCTCACATCCCATGGACAGAAAGTTATCTGTGAAATCAGTGTTTCATAGCAGAAAGGTTCACTTTTAGCATCTATAATAAGAAAACACCCTATAAAAGAGAGTATGTAAGAAAATCCAGAGTGTTCAGATCCATTTCACTGGTTTCAAACTTGTTGATTTCAGATTAATATTAGAAGAACAGGATCAGACATGTTTTATTGATGTCCTCATGTTCCTTTTGCAGTTACAAGGCTCTGCTCCCATGGGTTCAGCTTACCTGCAGCAATATATTATCCAGTGGAGAGCTTCCCATCCTGTGTGCCTTGACAGCAAATAACAGTGAAGAACAGAGACCAGGTGGGAGACATGAATTCTGGGACAACAGAAATAATACCAAAGCTTCCACTGGCTTCAGTAGAGACAAGGTTTCTCTCTGGGAGTTTGGCTTAAGCCAACACGTACTGGCAATTTACTGTAGTAAAGGAATTCATCCCACTGGTGACTTGGGCCTGGGTGAGTCTTAAGGTTGTGCACAGTTTCCTTAAGCTGGGCTTGAACTTCTGGAAACATGGCCTCTGCTTGTGGAAAACAGTGATCTGGGGTGCCTTTCTCATGCAGACTGTGTTTTATCCTTTATTTCTCAAATTTCTTGTGCGAACAGATGCATTTCCTTACAGTGAAAAAGATGTGTCCCCATCTACCCCTGCAGAGAATTCCTAATGTTCTCCATTCTCTTAAAGAGAGGACATGGGTAAGGGCATGTCAGACAAATGGGCTGATCCAAATAATCATGAAATGGCAGCAGAGTTTGGACTTCTCTCCTGATCGTGACCTCATGCTTTCAGCATGTTCAGTGGAAATATGCCTGTGTTTGAATTTCTGCTGTAGAGCTCAGTAAGAACAGAGTGCCAAACTCATCTCTGATGTAAGCCCTGTTTGACTTCAGCAAGTTTACTCCAGGGAGAGATTTGGTTCTGTGTACTTATGTGTACTAAGTGGAAAAGTGAGGGTTTCTGTTAATGCTCTCTGCTATGGTTAGGCTGAAAAAAATGCTATAGCACTGTGTTTCCTGTGAAACAAGGAACCATATTTATGTATCTATATCTCTACAGCTGTCTCTATATCTACTTACTTGTAAAATTAAACTATCGGATAATGAAAGTGGTCTTAGAACCTGAGGTACTTAATATGGAGGCTTTTTACTCATTAACAGCAAGCTTGCATTTGCTTTTGAGGGAGAAGTATGGGCAAAGCTGGGTGTAGATCTGCAGGACTGGAGGAGCAGGAGCAGTTTTGGATTAGGATACTGAGTGCAGGACCTTGGCAGAGCCACAGGGAGATCAAGGCAGGCCCAGCAATGGGATGGTGCAGGCCAGGCCTGTGGAGGGTGGGCAGGAGTCACAGATTCCTGCACTGAACAGTCCCAGGCAAAGTCATCAGATCATTCTCGTCAGAAGAGGCAAACTTAACCCAAGGAGACATTTCAATGCTGAAATGGAAACCACTCATGATTTTTCAAAGAATTACAGGAGAACTGATATCAAAGCTGACACCCAGTTGTAGCCAGGTGGGGTTGGTCTCTTTTCCCTGGCAACTGTCAGTAAGACAAGAGGGCATGGGCTTAAGCTGTGCCAGGGGAGGTTTAGGTTGGATATTAGGAAGAAATTCTTTACAGAGAGGGTAATCAGCCATTGGAATGGGCTGCCCAGGGAAGTGGTGGGTTCTCCGTCCCTGGAGGTTTTTAAGACGAGATTGGATGTGGCATCCCATGGTCTGGGAACCATGGCAGTCGTGGATCAAGGGTTGGACTTGATGATCTCAGAGGTCTTTTCCAACCTGGCTGATTCTGTGATTCTATGATTCTTTTTCTTTGTGATTTAGGAAGACCTCAGGAGTGGAGGGAGGCTGCTGGGGCCAACAGCCTCCCATCAGTGCTCCCTCCTGCAGAGTTTGCCCCCAGCTGTGAGTTGCAGGGGTGTCCCCCAGCACCCTCGGGCATCCTCTCGAGCTGCAGTGCTGTCAGACTGCACAAGCCTCCTCTCTTCAGGGAAGACAAGAGCAGAGATGGGTACAGTTCTGTCTCTTGTTTGAGTTGGTGTGTTCCTACCTCAGTGGGAGCACAGTGCACAAACAAGGGATCCAGTCACTCCCACCAGGGCTCCCCAGGAGTGACAGTGTTATGGCCCTCCTGGGCTGCTCCTCTGCAAAGGCAACCACTAAGGAGAAAGGAAGGAAGGAGGAACATGGATAAGCTTGCTCTCCTCCCTGTAGCATCCTGCAAGTTTGTATAATGACATTTACTAATGCTGCCCACATAGTTCTGTCTCAGAGGAGTCTGGAATAGAGGTTAGACTTTGTAGGTCACCGTTATAAAATCAAAGCCCTGCTTCAAAGCTCTCCACTGGCTGTGATGCAGGGCAAAAAACTTGTACTCTTCTGTGCCTCATTCTGCCCCAGTAATGCCAGCTCTCCTTCAGGAAGGCTTGGATGGCTTAGAGCCATGGCAGTCCTGCAGGAGAACAGCTTATGGGTTTGCTCAGTGGCTGCTCTGAGTGAATCCATAATACCACAGATTAAAGTAGGCTGAGTTCTTACTCAGACTCCCTCTCTGCCCCTCACTGACAGTCTTCCTTGTGCTTCTGTGCTTCCTGGTGAAAACACAAGGTGGCACTGAGTCAGCAGGACCTTGGCTGACAGTTGCCTCTGCATTTCTTTCTATTTATACACAATTACGGCAATTTGCAAGATCTCCCGTGGGGAGGCTGCAATCTCCCATTTCTCCAATCGTCTTGTGAGGGCAGTGCCAGTGACCATCCTGACTCATTTGTTGCAGGAGTTATTGTACAGTCACTTTATGTTATGTACTGACAGTTTTAGTAAGAAGTACAGTGCCAGAGTAACCTGGCAAAGGGACAGTCCCAAGGACTACATTCTTACATCTGTGTCTCTGTGAGAAAAAAATTACAGTTGAGAAAACTAAAGGAAAGAGGAAGTTGTCTCAAGGAATCCAGGGATGACCTGAATGGTGATCTACCATCAGGCCCAGACTCCTCATCACTGACAATATTTCTGCTAGAGAGAGAGAGAGGTCTAAATTGCAAAACCCCATCTCGGCTCCCCACAGGATGGACATGCCTTTCAGTTCTACTCTTTGCTAGCAACAAGCAATTACCAAATGGGAAACAGCAGTAGCATGATTACAGCTGTATGAAAATACAGCTTGCCCAGGCCCTACTGATGGCTTAAAACAGCAGTGTCAAAGCACCAGCTACACAGTGCCCCTTTCCTCTTTGCTGTCCCACTGAAGGTACATGACTGATAACACAGTTAAAACTGGGATTTGCCTTCCTCTAGGATCTGGGCCTGTTAAACAGAGATAAGTGCACTGTTTACAATGGAAGAATGTCTGACACCTAGAGGGGAGAATTGGGCAGCAACCCCTAAGGTTCATTCCTAGACATTTTGTAGTACACCATGGGCAATGAGCTTATTCCCTCAGGAATTTCCTCATGTGGGATGTGGGGATGATAAGCTCTCCTTCCCATGGACAGCAGTGTGATGACAGAGTACTGGGTAATACAAAGTTCTAATAGATGTGCCATGCAAATAGATGAGATTTGTACTGCCACTGCATTTGGGCTGTTTGATTGAAAGGGTTTGTTTGCCTTCCTGCAGGGTGAATGTCATTTTGTGTGACAAAGCTTGTGCAATATGTTACAGAGAAGACATGCCCTCATACAGAAATTTCCCTGATTCTTTTTTTGGCATCACTGAGGTGATAGGACTAAAGCACAATAAATTTTTTGACTGGAAGGTGCTATGAACATATAAAAAATCTTTAATTTACCTTTCACTTATTATAGTACTGCCCAGCCAAAAATCCTGTTCTGTTTTCCCTTATACAAGGCACAACAGCAGTGACAAAAACAACTGTGTTATTTGTGGATCATCTCTCCAAGCCCTGTTTGCCCTGGCCTCAGGCAAGTCTCTCTGGGTTCAGGGATGTGTTTCCATCCTGTCCATTCCCACTGCCTGTGCTTCCCCACCTTGTTCCTTGGCTCTGTGGAGATCCTTTCCCGATCCTCTGCCCACAGAACAGTTTATTTAACCTTGAAGTTCCCTTATCAGCTGCATCACCCTGCTGTAGCTGCAAGACCTAAATTGTTTTCCACCGTCCGTGAGCTGAATGGGGCCAGGCCTTCAGAGAGCACAGGCTTGGAAACACTTTAAATTAGGCAGTCTGAGATGGAAATGCTGTGGGTAACAAGGAAAACCAAACAAACCCCATCCTTCTCCCAAGGCCCTCGGCTCCTTAAAAGCCTGGTGGCTCTGTGGGGGCCCCAGCCCGTTTCTCAGGAGAGTTGTGCACAGCACATGACTCTTAATTAAATACATATTTCTGTGCAATGTGGAGTGAGAGGAGGCTGGTACCAGAGCAGACCAGCAAGTTGCTCCTCTGTCCAAGCTGTGCCCTGCAAATAGGTGAAATACATAATGCCATTGCATTTGGGCTGTTTGATTGAAAGGGTTTGTTTGCTTGCCTGCAGGGTGAATGTCATTTTGTGTGACAAAGCTTGTGCAATATGTTAGAGAGAAGACATGCCCTCAAACAAGAGCACATACCTGTTCCTTCAAGGGGAACTGTGTTCCTTTAGTCTCACTTGCACTGCAGTCTTGTGTAGTAATTAAATGATTCGGGTCCCCTGGGACTGCAGACTGAATGCAAAGACAGATTATGTCTTTTATGTCTTTGGTTATCTTTTTTTTTGCACTTGGATGGCGAGTTTCCATTCATTTTGCAAGTGGTTTTTCAGCACAGGTGTGATTTTGGTGTCTGTTATCACCAAGTTTGACACGGCCCATAAGAAACCAGGAGGAATTATGTGAGGAGAGTTTACCTGGCTGCACAAATGTTCTTGGACATCAGAAGGAGCTGCCTTCCATCCTCCCACGTGTTTATTCGGTGAAAAAAAAAAAATATAATTAAAAGTGGAACATATTCATTCTTTACAGCACAGGAGATCCATTAAAGGACTGGTGGCAGAACTCTGCTGATGGGAGCTCCCCTGCACAATGTTCTGAGCACAGTGTTGTCACTACAGTTACAGGGTATGGAATGATGTGGAGCTGACACCAGTCTCTCCAATGGAGGGCATGTGGCTTAAAATGTCAGGAGCAGAGTTGGAAGATGATGACTTTATTGGTTCTGTGGCTCAACCAAAACCCACTAAAATCGGAATTCTGTATTTGGTTGAGCCAAACACTGTTCTTTAGTTTTCAATTTACTTGTCCATTTCTCCTGGGCTGGTTTTTTTTACCCTTTATTTTTTACTTCAAATCAATTTCTTAAGCAAAAA